CAAAATTTTAAAAGTTTCATTTTTCTGGTGCGAAATACAATTTGCGTGTGAATTCAATGTAAGGGCAAAATAGAAATCAGTCAAAATGCATCAATAAGTGGAAAAGTTATTATCGAAGAAGCACATCTTTATCTCATAAGAGAATCAATTAAACTTAGTGAAACAATTTATCTTAATCTCGTTCATTATTCAGCGTGAAATATTTCAGAGCTTATCACGCAGTAGAATTTTAGACTGAATTTAGTAAATTGTTTATTTCTTTCCAATCAAGACTTCTTCAAAGTGTATTTTGGGCATTATTCAATTTCTGTTGCCGGTTCTAATTATTGATTAATACAGATGTTCTGCAATTAGGTAAATTTCAAAACATGCTGATTAATTGTTTCTTAGTTAGAACTGACTTCCTTGGAATCCTCAAAAAATTTAATCTGTGGCATTTTTTATAAGTGTTATGGAGCAAATTTCGAACTTTTATTTTTAGTTTACCTTTCAGAATATGCCGGATCCATTACACATGTTACTTAAAATTGATAATTACTTTAAAACCCTTAAATAAATTTTCTTTAGAAAATATATTTTATTTAATTAAATTTAATATTCATTGAATAGATTGCATGAAAAACTCAATTACATTTTCTTAAAACTTATTTTGATTATTTGACGACTTCATATTTAACTCATGATCATCAGAGCTTGATTTAAATTTTAAATTAATTTTTTTAAGTATGAAATTGTTTGCATCTATTTGAATAATTGTTTGCATTCAAGAAGACTTTGTGAAATCCTCTCTCCTTGCGCTGTATTATCGATTATTCGATTATCTCGCTCATATTTGAATGTGTATCGTCACTAATAGTGAAGTTTTCGTTATAATAAGTTTATATTCAGGCGTCACACCATTAATCACTACTTTAACCTCAAGTAAATTTAAGATATTAATAAAAGTTTAAATCGTCTCTTTAAACTGATTAGCTTTAATAAAGAGCAAGTGAAAGCGTATGCATCGATTATAATTTACTGTTAAGTTACATTGGTAAAATGGATTTTGTAAATAAGAAAATCTCGGCTAAACCCGACCTAAAACATTTGCATGAAGGTTAATGCTACTTTTTGTTTGCGCAAGATTGTCAACATTGTTCTTCTGTTACGACTTAATTATATATATTTTGCTGATTTTGCGTTTAGCAAAACAACATATAACCTGACTTTTGTGCTAAATCGAGTGTTTCTAAACATAATTTTAATATCACTGTATGAGAACATTTTCAAATTTTAATTTTGGTCAAAATTCATGACAAAAATCGTGCCTTTCTTTTTGAATATATGAATATTTTCAACATGCAATGTAATGTTTAATGTAATTCTCAGAAAAAGAATGCATAATCCGACATTTTGATAACTTTTAATAAAATACTTAAAAGTATGCTCACATTTTCATCAACACAAGTTACATGATGTCTTTGACAACAGATGAAATAAATAAGGTGGATGAATTATTTTTTTCCTCTTTTCCAAAATGACTTGATTTTTGAATTTGAGATCAAGGTTCATTTTCAGTTAGAATCAATGAGAGCAGTGTCAATAGTCTTAAATTTGAGAGCTCTGGTAACTGAAATAGGCATGGATATTTTCCAAAGATGCTTAAATGGCAGCTTAATTCTCCTTAAAACTGAAATTATAGAGAGAGGTTGAATGAGAATATTATTTTAATACTGGGAGAGGACTCCAAACGAGAACAGTTTGGCTACCAAATTTAATTCGACCAAAATTATCGATTTCGAGATGAATTAAAATATTAACCAAATGCAGCTGTCAGTCGATTTTGAAAAATTATAATAAACTTTGAATAGTTATTTTTGGAAAGTGTGCTCTCCTCAAGATAAAGCTCCCGTTTTTTGTAACCTCCATTCCAATGCACCCTTATATCCATCCCATTTTATCACACTTAGCTATGAGTCGTCGAATTTTTAAATTTATGCATATTGATAGCTCGTCGAATTCAATTAAAGTGAAAAACATTGGCGCTTGATTGTGCAGCAATGATCATTTCATTGATTCGGTTACGTAATCTTTGATTGTATAGTTGTGTATAATTCTCATTTCGAGTGCTGCATATGCATGTGCTATTTTTCCAGTTACATTAAAAATGCCGCCGTAATCTCATTTTAACCTATAAATGCTTTCCAATACCCCCAAAATCGAACTCAAACATACTCCGGGAAGTAAACAAAGATTTTTGCCTTCTTCGCATTACCCTCAGCAGTGCTTTATAATTTCTGACAACAATATTGATTTATTGATATATAATTGATAATGGAATAAATAAAGGTATCAAACTTTAACCTTAATTTCTTCCATTAACTATTTTATTTTTGAGAAAAAGTATTTCATTTCCTCTAATAAACCCAAAATATCTGTTCTCCAAATAAATTCGGTTAATAGCCCATTTGACCATAATACTGTCAAAATGGCCCTCACAATTTAGCTCACAGTGTGATCTTGTCAGGTAAGCGCAAATAATTAGGGACGATAAAACTTAAAATATTTCCCAATTAATTAGCTAGTCGAAATAACTTAAATGAAACTCTAAATTTTTCGCTTGAATTTAAAAATGTATTTTAAAAATATCTTTTTCTACGTGTTGACATCAAAAAACGAGGCAATATTGTTTTTTTCAAATGTTAAAAGACATTGATTGGTTACAGTTTAGTCCAATTTAAACAAACTTTTATACGAATGTATTTAACACAAAATACCAGGAGCTCAAAAATTGAAAATTATGATATGACCCCCATTCCATGAATGCTATATAAATTCACACATTTTTTCAATTTTTCTGAAATAGCCGACAAATTTCATGGCTCATTAAAAATCAAATATAAAGATGATCAAGTCTTTTGCTCAATTTAATGCCAAGTGCTGTGACGATATAATTAGAACATAATAATAAATTTTTTGACCCTGCGAATATTTGAGACTACAATTTATTTAAATTATATTTCTAAAATGATGAAATAAATTCCAATTTTACAAATTATTCAAATGATATTATAATATTGAAATTAAAATTTTACCAAGTTGCATCATTTGATTATAATGAATTTATTAAAATCAGAATTGCATTATTTGTATTTTTACTCTTTTAGAGCGCCAATTCCAGACAGATATTTTATAATTCTACAGACCTTTCGTAACCGCTTCACAATGGCGTATCTGGATTCCAGCCAAACAAGTCAGAGACAACTTTGGAAATCTGGCGTCCGAAGTTTGAAAAATCTTAAACGGACTCTAAATAAACAGTGCTCTCGTAATGTAATTCGTTGAGTTTTTTTGTACCTTATTCATTTATGCTCACCGTCATTCAAGATTAGCTGTTGCTCCTAACTAACTTTACAGATTTCTCAGATATCACTTTCTAAGAAGATGGGAAAATCCTTTATTTAACCATCTTGAAATTGAAAATCTTCTATTTAACTAATTTCAAGGTCATTGTTTGCGGTTTACTCACAATTTCGCTAGCTTTAAATTGATCAATTCAAAGCTATTGAGAAGTTTCTGAAAAGCAATCTTCTCGGAAATATTTTTTATGAAATTGAAGAATTATTTATAAGATACAGTTCGATTTCTATTCAATTTTGTTTAAACTTCCAGCTTTAAATGAAAATACTCATTTGAATTCAAACTGAATTATAAGAATACAAACTATGTCTAAATTTATGATTCTGATGGGCTTATTTAAAATTTTTGGCTTTCAAGTTTAATTAGAATTTCGATAATTGAACCATTGAATTAAGATATGTATGTTTGTTGATTAATTTTAAAATAATGCTTGAGTATAGATTGTAGCAAATTATAAGGGTTTTATAAATCTCTTTGAAAAAAATAATTCTCCCAATTATTATCTTTAATTATCTTTAACTGACCGGTCAGTTATGGTTGTCAACTATATTAAAAAATTCCAAATTTAATGACCAAAAGAGGAAAAATCTGCTAAAATGTGTAAAGTCGTCAATAGCAACGTGGTACTTGAAAAATAACGTCACTTTAAATGAACAAAAAAGTTTTCTTTGCTCTGTAATTATTTCATTTTCACAGATTGAGTGCTTTAAATAGCAAAGTCATTGAATAGCTTATGCCATATCAGACAAATTCTATAGTCGAGATTCTTCATTTGCGTATTTAAAAAAACGTATTTTAATGCGCATACATTAGAAATTGATAAAAACAGAGATTTTGGCATTTTAATTTGGACAAATGATATAATAATTTAAAAAAATAAAGTATTCACAAACATCCAGCATTTTTTTCAAACTTTCTCATGTTTTGCTTCACAAGAGCTAAACTAATCAGTGAACAGTTTATTCTACGAATAGTATAGGAAGAATTTACTCATTAAAACTAAAAGTAAATATTATTTATGCCATTTAAATTCTATTAAAGCCGTAAGAAAATAAGGAAATCAAAAAGAAAATACAAATTTTTATATTTAGCATGTAAATTTTAATTATCTACAGTGATTAGCAATATTAAATAGATAACTAAAACATATAGTCACAATCATTCATTTTTAATTACCTGGGGGAGGGAGGGGGAATAATAAATCTTAAAGAGTGCTAACATTAAGATTTTCGAAGTTTAGTTAAAAAAACCAAAATGGACATTGGAACGTTAATACGCCATTTATTTAAGTATGATTTATATTACTAATAGCATGAAAAACCGTTTCAACTTATTTGGGCAGATACTGGTAAATATATACCTAAAATGCATATTAATACTGGAGCACATTCAATTCTGTTATATTTATTAAAACTGACTTTAAAGCAAACATTTAGTAACGGGAATTCCCCATCAATGTGTTCAGTTTATCTATTGCACATTGGCACCTGGAAAACGCCTTTTATTATAAAAGTAATTCTAATGAACATTTGAGTCTGATTATCTAATGCTATGCCGAGAAGTGAACAATTAATGAATAATTATTATCTTCGTCCAAATAGATAGCGGGAATATTGGCGGACAACGAGCGGACAACTGAAAGTTTCTATTGCACTAAAGACAGTCCACTGCTAAACAATATCTTCGGCCAGTATGCAGAGGAGAGCATTTTTATCAAAAAGCCCCATGATTGCTCAAAATTTCAACATGCATGTCAGCAGTGCTTTGAACAGGCCAACACATCAAGGAGATTGGATCATCAAAGTAAGTTAGTGTTGTAATAGTTGGAAGGTGCGCTTAATCATTTGCAGGACATTTTTCTGCTTAATGTATAAATCGAATAGCTATCAATGATTTGAATATTGTAGTAATTGATTTAAGATTCTTTCAATTACAAAAAATAATTAATGCTATAAGAACATTAACTAAACGTAATATTATAGCTGGTGAATCAGTAGAAGTACTCGGTAAAATGTAGATGGGATATGTATGTTGATTAAAAGCGTAGCTGTGCCTTAGCATGCACCAGAAATACAAGTTCACAGCATGGACCTGTAACATCAAGATAGCACAATGAGAAAAACTGTCTTTCAAGTGCTTTCCAGATGTCTGGTCAATTATATGCCTATTAACACATTGATTTATGAAGAACAATTGTTCGATTAATCATCACCTCTTGAGTTACGTCCACAAATGTATCGTTACTGAGAAAGTCTTTTTTCTAAATCTTCCATTAAAGTCGGTGAATTTTTTTCTTTCTTCATAGCAGCGTGGACTGTCTATACAGCCAAAGAAGTGAGATAACGTTAGATTTTAATTTGAGCATTTCGAAAATTAACAAAAATTTGCATTTAACTAATTGTTTGTGTTGATATACCAAGTATCGTAAATGCGGTCTTAATAGGTGTAATCTATGCTACCTTTATATTATATCATTAAAGTTATATCTGATTGTAATAGTCATTAAATTAAATTAAATTTCGGAATGGCTAAACTTCTGCTACCATTATAATTTCTGCAATTGGGGCTTCAAATGATATCGTTTTTCCAATGACAATTCCTTGTCCACAATAAGGTAAACAAGAATCCAAATCCGCTCTTATTTTTCTACGTAAAGGAAATCGCTAATGTCGGCATTTGTGCCAAAATTTGTTTGGAGAAATGCTACCGCATAATATGAATTACTTATGAAGGCTGATTTTTGCGCTTGAATAGATAGGAATTGATCAATGGAATATTGCAGTATTTGCTTTCATTTTGAAAGCTAATTGCAATTAAGATGTTTGCTAATAAAATGTACAGGTGGTCTCGTCTCCATACTGAATCACCTCTGATTTTATCATGCCAAGAAAATTACGCCTGGTGAAGTAAATATCTGACCTGATTAAACTTGTAGCAACCTGAGCAGAATTACTTCAATTCTTATTTATTCACCCACAATAGCAAGGGCTCAAATAGATAACCACAAGTAATTGAAATAAGATCGGCGTCTTGATTCACTGGTCAATTTCCTTGCCATATTACACGGCGCAGAGTTAGGTCACATTCGCTCTTCCACTGAAAGTAGTCTGTTTGGGACGAAAGTAATGTTACGACGTCTTACTTGACGTCTTTCAGAAACCGCAATAAGAAGTAAGTTTAAAAAATCATTGATGTTTGTCAACATTTTGTGAACTAAAAGTAGAGACCGTAAAGACACTTCTTATTTCTTACACAGAAAGAAAGCCTTTTAAGGTAATGAATTGTTTTACGCGAAATCAAATTATTACCAATTAAATCACTTAATATAAATTATTCAAGATTTATGACTGCCCCCCACCACCTTAATGGCTTAATGCACTGCTGTGAGTGGCTTTATCCCTATAACTTCCTATATGTATTTTCCATCTGTACTATTACCGTTTAATGTAATTACCTTACTTGTTTGTTCAAATTGTAATCCTAATGGAAGTGGTTGGATGACCTCTCTACTTTCAGACAACATGAATGAATTCATTATCAAATTCCGCACTGTGCAGGTGTCTCGTCTCTGTACCCCAACTTCCAGGTCTCATACTACTCATATATAGAACTCACTCATCCATTATCACGAGCTCATAAATATTCAAAACTTATAGAAGAAGAAAATAAGAATTATCCATTCCGACGGATTACTTTCAATAATTTTCTATAAAAGCCATTTTTCAGACAAATAATGAATCTGGGCATTTCATCGCGAGATCTATTAATCAAGTTATTTCTCTTTTTGAACAAAATTAGCATTACAGCCAACATTCATTCTATTTTAAATGGTGTGCTCGCATTGGGACACTTCTCTCATGTCAATTCCAACAATCGGTAATAAGATGAAACGAAAGTGGAAGACAAATTGAAACCTTGAAACCAATATTTTTTTTAGTGATCAGAACATTTTTTAGATTTTGTGAACAATGTTGGAACAGGGCTTTCAAGGCAGGAAGGCAGAAATTTGCATTAACACCCAGTATTCATATTGAGGAATTTTTCACTCCAATTATAATTCAGTAGATTGCTGAGTGAAAGCGTGCACCTACGAAACAACCAAGGTCAAAAGGTTGGGTGGTGACCCCGATAGTGTATTAGAAGCTGCAGAACTGCTATTCGCTTCAAAGTACGGAGATTTACTTCTGATTTCCAGACTTGAAATACTATTAGCAGAGTATATAAGAGGCCAAATTGAATGAACTCTGATAGTTTTGTACATGCATATATTTACGTTACCAACAAAGTTCAAAAACTCTTTTTATTTCTTAAAATGGTCAATAAGTTGTAAAGACAATTGGTTATTGTGGCTAGTAATATATCATAACCGTTTTTTGTTTAGACTGTTTGGCTACATTTCATTTTTCTTTTGTATTTGACGTATACGGAAATTAATTTCAATTTTCCCTTTCAAAATCCTTCCATAAATCTTATAGGAAATTCTTGAGTTATTCTGAAGGATTTTAAACATGCACACAGTCTTTGTATTTATTCAACAAATGAACATTAATCAACTAGCATCCGTTCAAAACTATCATACCTCGGCTATAAACACTTTCTGTTGCATTCATGACTGTTTTTCGATGAAATATTGACCAAGTTCTACTTATTTTGCTCTTTTCTCCAAATAAACGTTACCAAAAAATATGATAGATCTTAATTTGCAATTTTTTTCGTGCAGATATCACGCCAATTTCTTTGGAGAGTAATTCACTTGCAAGAAAAGTGAGGCTCGTTTAGTCAGATTGAAGAAACGGAAAGTATCAAGTTATGATTTTAATTAGAATATAGCAAATATTATTATTTAAAATGGCAGGCTTTATGATATTTATCATTAGCCCCTTAGTTGACTTCGGCTTTCCTCATGGTGGGGGGGGGGGACACATAGCAGCCAATTATATAGCAAATATCAACTATAGTGAATATATAAAAGGGCTATTGATGGGTAAAAGTGTGGAATATTCATGATCGAAACTAAGTGGTATTATGCTTTTACTGACAATTAAATCAAATTATTTGACATGCTAGTATTGATTGCCAATCACCCATCCTGTGTTTATGCATTAATATCACCTAATCTACTTAAACAGGAAGTAACCTCTATGATATGATGTGGCCATCAGATGCGTGGCTTGGAATGCAGTCATAGAGAAAAAATAAACGCAAAATTAGATTACTTCCGGTCTCAAAACCAGAATCTAAACACTGCTCCGGTTGTGGTTTAGATCGTTTTTCACCCCAATTGTTTTTTTCATTACAAGCTTCAATTTAAGTCAATTTTATTCAAATTTGAGTAGATATTTAGCTTCAAGACGGAATATCTGTGCTCTTTTGTTAACGTCTCAATCTCCTTCAGCTTTGGTTTGCTGAATAAAACCACACTCGTCAGCTGAAGTAGAGATGTATTTGAATGCAATATCCTACATGATTGAACCATCAGCGATCACACATATCTGGTCTTTAGTAGCGAAAAATTTGGCATCTAAAGTATAATAAAGTGTATTCAATGATAGAATTGAGTAAGCTAAATGAGGATTCAAAGTAGTTAAATGTTGGTTAAATTTTATTTAAAAAATGGTTTATTATCATTCCTTCTATGAGTATTATTTCGATGGGGAGACAGAGATCGGTCGATATTGCTTTTGAAGACGGTCATTATTGAAAATTTTGACTTTTTATTCATTGATTGTATAGACTTCTTTGAGGATCGAGTTTTAACTTGTCCGTATTCGTTCCTAACTTCGTATTTACTTTCGATTCTATCTCAATAGAAAATTTTACTAAATATCACGCTAATCTTTTGTGAACGAAAGTCTTTATCGACAAAGGTTTAAAAGCGCTTTACTACTTAGTTAGTTAGCAAAAGGGAGTTAACATTGAAATTGCAAAATTTCAATACATTTAATGAGCATTCAACTCTTTTATACATTACTGTGGGAAAAATTTAAGTAGTTATGAACAGAGATGTAAGGTTTGAATAGTCTAAATAGACATGAGTAAATTTTATCCAAAGAGAATTAACTTAATAATGAATTGTATATTAGTAATAAAATTTGTACTTTTAATGTGATATACATGGCAACGTCATTGGCCTATATAAATTTTAAGTAAAGCATACAATGAGGCAAATACGTGTTGGTTATTGAGTTCTCGCTTGAAAAGTATTTGATTTGCATTACAAAGCGCTTCGACCATCTTCAAGAGTTGTACGACACAAAAACAACAGGAGTTCGGGCATTGCCTTCCACTCCGTGAATATTTCTAGACGACCGGCAGCTCTATATTTCACTGCACAAGCTCATATTCCCCCTTGGCATTTGGATTCAAGCTATTAGAAAGATAGGAAGTGATTAGCTACTTTTGACTAGCTAGAAGTAAAGTATGAATGTATGAATGCATCTTTAATCTTTCCGCAATTTACAATATCGGTTTTAACAAATATCCTACCGAATAGAGTTTACTCAGATGTTTTATTTTCAATAAAAATTAAGTAAGAGGTGGCAAAAATTATTTATATCAAATGACAGGCGATTGGATAATTATCATTAGCCCTTTAGCTGACTTCGGGCTTAACAGAGGGGAGGAACATCAAAGTGAGAAAAATTCGAGATTCAAAGATGCGAAAGAGGCAGACAGACAGACAGACACAAAGGCTGAGAAAAAATGAGGTGAGTACTGGGGAAGTGATAGACTATGACATACAGTGGGACCATTCTAGTTTGAGGTCAGAGGTCAACTGCCAGTTAATAGACCTTTTGCCGTATGAGTATACGTTGCCCAGGGTGCACCACGTGGAGGTAAGTCTATCGCACACCCTAGGAGGGGTAAAAAGGGATTGGGAGAAGCTTATAAGTAACTCAAAGAGAGAAGGTTATATGAGCTACGCATTTACAACTATCAAATGGAAGGGATGAAGCGTTTTTTATTCCTTCTAGTGTTTTGCGATGGTAGCATGGAGGCGTGCATGCAAATCATTAATTGCTACAATACTCCCGGTTGTCTCGGCTACTTCAGTCCTCCCTGCTACCCCGAGGATCAAGGGAACAACTTCGCAAATGGCACGTGTGTCAAAGGTATTTTTTCCTTGCGGTAATTACAGCTCTATCAGTTTACAAATGAATATCCACTGGCAATAATAAAGACTAATTAGAGTTTGAATATTGATAACTCCACTCAAAACGCCTTTTGTTTTCCAGTGTTGAATAGTTCTTATCGTGATCAAATCACTGGGGTTATTAATTAATAATATCAAAGTCGATGCATGGCGTAAATACACATATTTGTTGACTTTTTATAGTCAGTGCATTAAATAGTAGCATGCTGAATGACCTTTAGCCCCATTGCGTGGCTATAATTGAGGCTGGAATTATGCTGCTATCAAAAATAAAAGACCTTTAAAATGCCAACCTGTTAAGGAATACTGAAGCTAATCTTGCAATATCTTGTAATATGATAAAAACACAATACATAATGCTCAGTATGGTTATATTTAGACTCTCTAAATTACGTCTCACTGGAGGTGCTTAAAACTTACGGTGAAATGACCGTAAAATATGAATTAAAACTTTTTACAAACTATCACAGAGGGCAGGAGCATCAAAGCCACAAATAATTGAGAGATTGAAAAGAAGTGATTCATAGGTATAAGAGAGACATACACAAAGGTAAGGAAAAAGGTAAGGTGCGGTGAGTACTGTAGAAGAAGTGGAATACGACATGCAGTCAAGTTATGGTAATTTGAAGTCAACTGTCGGTTAATAGAATTTTTGCCGCATGAGAATACGTCGCTCAGAGTGCACCATGTGGCGATAAGTCTATCGCGCACCCCACATTAAAGAATAGACAGTTAAAATTAGTTCCCAATTTTTGGTCCCGCTCCAGATATTTGATGACATGTCAAATAGATTGTTGGTCAAATCGCTTAAAATTTTCCGTTATTTGTTTATTTCCGCTATTGGTTTCAACAAGAACTACCATAAATACTATTTTGATGCTTACGTAACCCCAAGGAACATGAAATATTCCTCAATTTTCTACTTAAAAAATTGTTAGTAGCATATAGGTTAACAAATTTGCTAATGGTAATACGGGTGATATGTTCAGAATCACTAATTACCATTACTTCTGTTTTTCTAAATGAAACTTAACACCTTATCCTGCAATTTCAGGTAATACCTTCAAACTCAGTATATCACCTGACTTCCAGAACATTTCAAATTCCTTCCAGTGTCATTTGCAAAAGAGCAAACATCATGAATTATATATCAATTTCACTATTCAGACCGGCCTTATGCAGATGCGTGACAACGTATCTGAGTTTGACTTTTCGAAAGTTCAGTGGAAAAACCATCCGCAGGAGTTTCACGTAAAAATCAACAACGATAGAATAAATATAGTTGCTGGTCCACTTAATGTGATGGCAATGCTGAAATCAAGCAATGTTACACTGGATTCTCCAAAGGAAGCTATTCTCCGAGGTATCAAATCAATCTATGATGCAAATGGTAAGAAAAAATAGAGATTTAGGCAAACTCCACAAATTATGACAAGTCCTAGCCAGAGCGCTCACTAGTATTGTGCGAATAATTTGAAAGGCCAGGTCGATAAACTCTATGCATTTGACGACAAAAGGGATTCAATCACATTAAAATCGTAAAACACATGACATTGTCAATCAAACTTGAATTTCACCGTTAAAATTTATTTATATCAAATGGAAGGCATTTTGACAGTTTTCATAAGCCCTTTAGCTGACTTCGTATGTTGCTATGGCCTGAGATGTACGATAGACTTACCTCCACGTGATGCACCCTGGGCAACGCATACTCATACGGCAAAAAGTCTACAAACTGGCAGTTGACTTCTGACTTCAACCTACCATGGCCCGACTGCATGTCATATTCGACCCCTTCCACAGTACTTATCTTACCTATTCTCTGTCTTTGTAGCTGTCTGTCTTTTTTAAATGTGTGAATCATTATTCTATCCCCTCTCGTCTTTTTCGTCACTTTGATATTTCTCCTCCTCTCCATGAAGCCTGAAGTCAGCAAAAGAGCTAATGATAATCATCAAAAAGCCTGCCATTTGAAATAAATAAATAATTGTTGCTGCGGCAACTTAGTGAAAATTCATCACTCAAATACTGACAAATTGGAATCTGCATGAATACTTAAAAAAAGCCGCGTCCATTAATCATCGACCAGTTAGGAAAACGGCTCACCACAGTCAGTATTGACAGCTTTATCTTTCCCTGTTAATAATCAAACTCAGCCCTATGTGCATCAAATTAAATGGCGCGTTCATTAAATTTGAAACTTTGGCGTTTTTTGTTCTTTTTGAATGCACATATTTGCAAGTTTAATAATTAGTACTCTGGACATTTATCCAAATGTGAAACGTATTGTAATTTCCTTGATGTTAATTTAATTATAAAAACATCCACATTTTTATTTGCTTACTCCCACTCAGAATGAGTCATTTCCTTGAGCAGCTATGCGGCCATGATATCATTGCGTTTACTCAATTCCCTTTCATTGATTTTATATGCTCCCACAAAATAGCAAGTGCACTGAAAAATGTAACAAGCCATACACATTTTTCTCAATAATGGAGCTACAATCTATAGTTGCACAATTATTATTATTTTTATCATTAAATATTCTTCAATTAACTTCATGCAATTTGGTTAGTGGGAAGTTGTTTCGTATTTTGAGAAGTCTTTATTCCTTGATATGTTTAGCCTTCTGTTTTTACAACTTTATACTGTAATTTTTTATTCAAGTCAAACAAATTTGTTTTTTTATTCAATTGTGATAAAAATTTGGAGACGATGCTTGGATATTGCTTGTCACTTATTATTTCAAATGACAGGCTTTGTGATATTTATCATTACTAACACTTGAATAAGTAGGACTTTTCAGATTTATTTTAATTTAATGTTAAAAGCATTTCAATAAGTGTTTAATTCCTCATTTATGTACGTGGTCGACATTGGGAAGTATTTCTGCTCGTTTCATAAGCTCTAGTACTTACAGTCATTATTTTTCGCCCATAATACAAAATAACCAAAATTAGTGTTACTTTGTACCTATATTTAGATTTTATCAGAATCGTTTCGCTTGACAATGGTGGTAATGACAGATACATTAGTTGCATAAAAATATTTTTTGTGAATATTTTAATACATTGTCATCGCTGTCATCTTTTTTCCTTTAGAAATTTCTTACAGTTATCTCAAATCATGTAAAATTTAATTTTAGAATATGATACAAAATTGTACAACCTAAAAACTTTCCAAAAATCAAGGGAACCGATACAACAAGAACAATCTGTAGGGACAAATAGTCAAGGTGACCTCCAAATGAAAGCGGTTCAATTTTCAAGACCGTTTCTCCATTGCACTTCAAATTGGCGATCGAGTGGCTGTGATATGGATATCAGCAACATTATCTCAGGGAACGAAGTACTATTTGGCTCTGTAATATCTTCCGTGCTTCGAATAAATGATACGAAAGGAAATTTAGAACCTTTCACCTATGTTATTAAGGAAGATATTGAGAATAGCTTAAAGGTCAAAATTGAACTTGAAAGTAAGTTGTATTGCTATTCCCTCTTTAATTGAACTGCCTAAAGTATTTAAGGTAACATTAAAAAAGTGGTGTTACCTCATTTCTGCTTAATTACACTAATTAGTTTGCAAAAGCTCAAGGAAGAAATTTTTAAGTCGAAAATAACATCAAAATGACGAATGACACGTGTGGGCTTGCCTAATTGGCTAGTTCGACTACCCAATAGGAATTGTTCCAGCTTCCCCCTCCCCCCCCCTCAGTCACGCTGTGGGTTTAAGCAGGCAGTGCAAAGCAGATATTAAAATCGTCATATTGCAACTTGTTATTATTATTCACTTTTTTTAATCACATTCAGAGGCGACGTCAATTTTAAAATACGCGATTTGCAATAAGACAAAGGAGGTAACAACGAATGGTAAATCGATAGTCAGATCAGCCAATGCGTCCTTCCAATTTTCAAACCAACGGTGGATATTAAATATTAACGGTATGAAGTGTTATTTCACCTTTTTAATAAAAATTCATTTAATATTTCTTTGTTTTAATTATTGAATTAAATTATATTTATTATTTGACCAATTAATAAACGAATTTATTATTTTCCTACTTGGGTGATAAATTATTTTAATCTTGATGGATATTTATGCCATTAAAAACATTACCAAAAATAAATTTGTGAAATATGTCAAAAGTTCATAACTATTAGAGCTTTTTAATATTATGGCTTAGAATAACAGTTAGTAAAATACTTTAATTGTATATTTCATTTTCCACCTAGGTAGAACGGAAGTTGCGCCGTTATACTTGAACATTCGCGTTGCCTTTGATGAGACTTTGACCGATCCCTTGGCACATCAAGATCTACTCTTATTTCCACTTCATGTCAAAAAATCAACTGACATATCTGTCCAAACCCCGTATGAGTACTCAATACAGCTCAGATTTCCAAATCTGTCAACCCGTCTAGCAAACACTGGATCAAGGCAGGGTCTAAAAAAGGTGTTGGTGACAATTCAAGATTGTTTCAGCACTCAAAATATTCAATTACTCATGTTTGCATCAAGCGGAAATATTGACACCATGATGTTGGACGGAGCGGATATGTCTGATTTAAAAAATGGCGCATTTGTTAATCTTACAAAACCCACTACCTCATCAATGCTTCTCTCTATAATGTTCCCCGAAAAAGGAATCATCATAGTTCCCTACCTCTTTCTCTTTATCGGTGTTCTCATAATAGCAGTTATTCTGATGATTGTCCACACCCTCACTTGCCTAATCCAGAGGCAAAAGCGAAATCGTATACATGGGATCCACATAAAGACCCTTCATCTCAAAGATTCAGAAAATTTGAAATTTACTGTACTTTCTGGGGAGAAACCAGAGCTCCAAGAGAGAGGTTACTTTCCCCTGAATACTACATCAATCTCTTCATTATTCAAACAACCCGATTTCCGGAAACAAGGTTTCTCCTGCGCAAAGAAAGGAATTCTTGTCTCTTATATCAGCTTTCGAGTTTTTTATACATTCATTTTTACCTTCTCTGTTGCGTTATCAATTCTATTTAGTTTCTGGCCACCAGTAGGTTTTGAAAACAATTCTGGAGTAAATAGAGACGCCCTTCTTCCTTTGGCGCAACGCGAGGCTGCTCGAAGGGAGGTGGATACGGAAAAGATACTCCTCCAACATTCAAACAAAGCCGCTCAACTTGTCCGCGCATGCCAAGATATAGTGATCCGACAAGTTGTTGATGTTGCCAGAGAAGTTGATCGGGCGGTTCAAGAAATTCTAGACGCTGAACTTAATCCTCACAAATCCAAAGATAATATGTTCAAACTAATGGAAAGTCTAGTCTTTCAACAGATGGCTGATTTAAACTATTCTGTTCAGGATTACATCTCACACTTACTGGTTGAGCTTAATAATGCCACAATGAGCGATGCTTTAAGATTCTCGGATCTTATTTCCCGTATCCACGCTTCTCAGTGGCTTCTGTTTGTTAAGCGGATGATGAATAACTCGCACATTCCATGGGATATCAACTCTCGACAGACCCAATTTCTTCCTACACCGGAATACTTGAATGAATTGCGTCTCAAGATCTCAAATATTGAATTTGCACGCCAGTTCGGACTAGCGGAGGCCGAAAACTTCATTTTTATTCCAATGCTGATAACCTCGCAGTGAGTTATTTGCATTTTATTATCTGGTGGGTTGGAATATAAACACATACGGTGGTAGTAGTCCGGGGGTTGTGTGGGATTGATTTTACCAGGAGATATAAACAGGGAGGGGGGGGGGGGGGGGAGAGAGAGAATTATTACTTTGAGTATATACGCCCTCTAAAATACGCCTAGCACTAATTCTTCAAAGTCTGCAATGCAATTGGATAGAGTATTGTGTGCTAAATTTTCCTAGGCTATTGTCATATGACAGGAAGGGGACAAAAAAAACAAGACTATAAACCTAAATTGCAAATAGACAGGCTCTCAGTTTTCCATTTATCTACTAATTTCTCGGAAAAAGCTCGATTGGTCATTTCAGGCACAGGTCTCGGATGGGCCTCTGCACTTTAGTGCTAAGATAATAATGAAGATTTCAAACAAGAATAATTTAAACTCCTCTTTGATTATTCAGTAGCTGGTTGTGGCCCCTTACTATCAGTTTACTTCCTAAACACGCACATATGGAAGTACACACACCACAACCTTAAGGTGGCATGCGCACCACCCTCATTAAGGAAAGCGATAAGGTCACGTAGAGGTGTTACGGTCACTGATACTATAGCTAATTAATATAATGTCTTGGGAAACGACTTGATATCAGACTTTAAAGGCGTTTTAACAAACGTCATATCAAATAACAAATGAGCGTATGCTTGAAAAGTCATTTTGTTGGCAGTACCAAAATTGGGAAAATGTGCATGGAAACATCGTCTCTCTAGCCAAAGAGCGCCCAAAGGGTCATTTTGGTATCCTTCTAAACAAGTACAACAGGCCAGAGAAGAGTCTGGCATGAAAATCATTTGCAGGTTAAAGCATTCGCATTTTTGTCAATTCGTGTTATCTAAAAATACCTTTATATTTATCTGTTGACGTATTCGCCGTATATTAATAACCAATTGATCGATACGATGGCGATTGTGGTGCTTTATTTTGGCTTTTATTTTCATCTTTCATTTGGTAGAGTGAAAATTTGAGTAAAGCGATTATATGACCAATTTTTACTTTAGACATTTCAGGCTATAAATTGTGCGTTAAATAAACCTTTTCAAGATATTGTAAAACAGTTCTTCAAATTCCCATCTTCTTATAAAATATTCTAGTACACCAAACAGCAATTTCTAACTTGATAAGAATTTAGCGATTGGTTGGTTAATTTGATACGGAAGCAATGTCATACTTTTGCTGGGTGCATGCTATTCTTGTATTCTGGTAGCAAGCAGAACAAGGAAAGAGAACAGACTTGTCATTTAGGGTCTCCTTGTGAAGATTCAGATGTCATTAGCGTTTGCCAATAAAAAAAATTGAAGAGAATTTCCACTTTGAATTCCGCCAGCATTATCGTTTGAATGTATTGATTAAAGGCTGACACTTTTGTCAAAATTTCAGCATCTTTCCCATTGGATTGAAGATAGGCAGGTAAATAAAATATATAAATATAAAGGAAGTTTTAATATAAGATTATTTTAGAATAATTATATTTTCCTTTTCAAATTATATAACTAAGCAATAGAAAGTTTTGGTCGTTGGGGTTAGTAAGGTGAAACACAGTGCTCTTTATAAAATTAAAAATTATTAAATAAAACTATCACTAAACTGTCCATTACTCCGTTTCTTCTAGACCTTGGTAAGAATAGCAAGGAAAAAAGGTTACAACATTATTGAAAGCCAAATTATCTCTTAATTAAGTTTGCTTATCTTAACCTCTTATATGTTCTGGAGTCAGGCTGAATCATGCAGAATTCCGTTTGCCTTGTGCCAATGGGCATCGAACCCATAACCTCAAATTCGATTTACTTACATCTTACCTCAGTCACCTAAGTGGTTGTGCACCTTTAAATTATCTGTGGCTGCTTTCGTGCGCAAATGCTACTTATTGTCTTAAGAAGTAGCATTCAGATCTGACAGTTACAAAATTGCGCTATTTTCTGAGACATCGAATAGTGATTTATTAATTTATTGCTAATATTAAAAGAAAATACATGTTGAGGTTTAAGATTATCAGTAACATTACTCTTTAATGAAGGGGAACGGTAATATATCTCACTATCTCCTTGCAAGTTTATTCAATAATATCTCGATTAACCCTTTAATACTCTGAGAACAATACAGTTCACTTTCAAAATAAGCTCCATTGGTGCTAGACTCGTAACAGAAGGTGCTATTGCCGTATGAAATATGTTCGATGCGTCTAAAAGGCCTTCGCCTGATAAGACCAAATCTCATCATGTATTCGGCATCAGTCTATTGTGAGGGTGCGACTGGGTACTGTTTTCAAAAGTAATTCGAGTGTTAAGGGGTTAACACAGAACTCTGGAAAAATTAATTTCCTTCATTATTAACAATCAGTAACATAATACGAGAGCACGTGAAGCCAGCAATTTATTCAAAGTAAACTGACCAAAGTTATCAATGAGGTTTTCACAAATTATAACAACTGGAGGTACCAGAGCTGACATTGAAGAAGCTAACATGAATATGATCATCTGAGAAATTGACAAAGTCTATCATTAGGTGAAAAGAGGTATTTTCGTGAAATGGAAGGCGTGATTCGATTAAAATTCTCGCTATTCTCAAATGTATCTTCCTCTCGAGCGTCTATGAATACTACATATACATAATCTGTGTTCAAGTACCATATGAAAGACCAAAAGGAAGACGAATGCCAGAAATAGCACAAGCATTAGTAGTTGCACTGACAAATCACCTTATTCTAGCGATTTTGGGTATTATATGCTCAATTTTGCGTATTTTGAGGAAAGGTCGGTGCTTGATATCCCATTAACCGTGGTTCTTTGCCTTTTGCTCTCTTGAGAATTATCTGTTAGGTCTAGTTAGCATTGACTGCACCTTTCACACTTCATTAATGTCTTCTTTCCTAACCAAACTTCTGCCTTAACTAGTAACTCAACAAAATCTATCCAATTCCCTTTACGTTATTTTTGAAAAAAAATATGTTAAGCTTATAAAATAAAAGAACAGCCAATGAAATAAATTCTCAGCACCTTTGTCGAATAATGGAAGCCAAAGTCGATTGTTAATTAGTACTAGAAACTAGTATTAGCCATTTAAGAGCTGCAAGATTCCATCTTCATCAGTATCTATTAAAACCTTCTCTTTAATGGCAAAATTGAGGTTGCCCATTAAAATAAGGCAACCATTTCAGGAAATCGCATGACTGAATCTTTTGCAAGCCTAGATTAAACTCTATCAACTTGGAAGTAGTTTTTCATGCTCAATGGTGTTCGTTTTAAACAAAATGAATGAAGTTCAATACAGTGTGTTCTAATATCTCGAATTTTACATACTCTAATTTGTCTCATGGTTTGCTGATTGAGTTGTTGTTTTGCTATTTCCGGGATTTATCAACTATTTGAAGGAATCGTCCTCCCTCCTCACTTCATCTATCTCTTCTAACACCCCCAAGGACAACTGTAGGAAATGCTTTAAATGTTTTGGGTTGTAAGACTCATGATGTCGGTTTTAATTCAAATGAGCCTTGGTAGAATTATTCAGTACTATCGCTTTAATAATTTAATAGTTTAAAGTCCTGTAAAAAGCCTCTCGTTGAAAACCTAATTGGCAATTTGAAATAGAATGCTCAAAAGACTACGAAATGGTCTAATTATTTATTCAAAATGTCTTTAAACTTATACTACAAGGGACGCTGAGACCAAAAAATATGAAGTCTTTATAACTAGTTTTTAGAGCTCTTGAAAAGTTGGATTTTCTAGCCAAAATGGCTTGAATTTTCTGAAAATATCTAACTTAGTACCATAAACAACTTTTTCAAATGAAAGTCATATATATGATAGTCTTGGCTTCTTTCTAGGACTAAATTTTGCTCTTTAATGTATGCTCTTTTTTGTCAAAGAAAGAGATTTTTCTGAAATTGTACGATCTTCTCGGTTAGATTAAAATTTGAGTCAACCCATGCGTAGTTACCGCCATTTGGCCGAATTTATTAGATTAATCCAACTGCGCATATATATGTATATCTGCGAAGCCAGGCTTATAATAATATAAAAAAATTCGGAAGTTTTTGCTCTAATTGAATACGTTCAGCATTCGTTTGAATCCATTCGAGAAAATATTACCTAAATGAACTTATAGAATGCTGACACCTAAAATGCCGACTCATAGAAGGTGGAAAATAGTCATTTCTCAAGCCATCTCCCACTTGGCTTAAAGGTTTTGAGTGGACTGAGGTGAGTTCTTATATAAGCATCCCTTTGATTATTAAAATCCGTTTATCGATCTATTTCATTAAAAAAGTTAGATTTTCTATATGTCGATGATGTAACTTATAATCTTTTTTTACAAATTTGGAATGCCGACGCCTATATTTGAGGCTACAGATAAGGAGATAAAGGAAGGAACTTTGCCTTTGGAATTTGAGAATTTTCCATGCTCTTTGGACAGCTTAACTTATCGATAATCATCTCGTTGTTTATTGTTGCTCTCCTAAATTCCTTTAAGATGAATTAGTCCTCTCTCTCATGAATGATATTCCAAGAGATTATGATGATGATGTCAGCATTGCATCAGTAAGAGAAACGTTGATTGACCATTCAAACTTAGACTATCGAAACCATCCTTACAATTCCCTTTCATAAATAAAATTAACAATCCGCAAAGTAGAAATCTTGCGTAAGTAATTAGAATAAATGGTAATATGCGACATTGTAAGTAACCTGGTGAATCCATTTCAACCCATTCTACGATGTCACAGCTCACTTGAAAGCAACTTCAGTAAATTTGAATAGACATTTTAAGTGGATGAAATACATATGGATTGAGTAAGTAACAAACTACATAATAAGCTTATGGCTAGAACACTTGAAAGTTTGTCGAGGTAATTGTAGAAGTTAAAATATGTTGTGTGCTGCCCTATTTGACATTTACAACTATTTAAAAATGGGAGCTTATGAAGATAAACAATGAATAACATTCAGTCAATTTACTAGCTACCTTCACCTAGATGGGATGGAGATAAGCTGGGGCATGAATATCAACATAAACGTCTAGACCACATCATTTACGCTTTCGAAAGCTGGTTTTATTTCACTTATGTTTTAATAGATGAGTTCATTCGAATATTGCTAATCATTGCTCCAGCTAAGTAATTGGTATATATAGGAGTCAATTTGTTTATATTAAATTAAGTCATCTGTTTGTAATAAAACTTCCAGGGCACTCAAAAAACGAAAGAATTGCATTCCTTCATAGAGAATGTGAAAGTGAAAGCTTTCTCTCTCTCTCTCTTCGGAGTACTTGTCTTTCTTTAGCTATACTCAGATGGTTTGAGCAAGTCTGTTAATTCTAACCGCTGTCGTCACCTAAGCCCTCTCAAAACAAATGCTGACTTTTTGTTCATTACGCTTCATAGTAACAAAGCAAATGGGGGTAGGGGGGGGGGGGGGGGGGGGGTAAATGTATGAGTATATTATAACAGAAATGCAATATTTCATTCCTGGAGCTCACAAGAACTCTTGCTATTGTTACTGACATTGCATAACAATACACTGGAACATGATGCGTATTGATCACATAAGCATTGTTCTTATCAGATCTTACAAGGGGGAGTTGGCAGTACTGTCTGTCGTAAGAAAAAATAAGCTAGCCTACATTTTGGCAATTATTCTTTTTTCTGACTTAACAAGTGTTTTAGGGTTCAGGTATAAAAGTTACTAGAGCATTATATAAGTTCTTATTTTGCGACTTTATTTCCCACCTTCGATGAGATGTTATTTTATTCAATTCCAAAACTTCTTCTCCCTCTGTTTTGGCATAAATAATTCTTTTATCGATTTGCTCTCGTTATGTGGTTCAGTCTTAGTGAACTTTAATCTTCAAATTAGCATGTCTTCTGCTATTTCAGCTTTCTATCTTCTAGACACTTAAGAGGGGCAGTTAGAGCCATAACCTAACATCTCCTCCAGTTTCCGAATTAGTCACTGCTAACCAGAAGCCTTTCAGGCTATATCAATATTGCATATGAAATATTAATGGGTAAATATGAGGTTTTCAACTAAAGGGATGGTTACAGTGTAAGTTAAATTAGTTTAAGAATTTGATTAGTGATTTATTATTGGATTTTATCTATCTGTTTCGCAAAATTAGCACCTCAGTCGATGAAATATGTAACACTCATTATAAACCTGGATGGTTATTCCATTGAACTAAAGGAACAAGTGGAGTGGAATATTTTCTTTTACTTTCTTTCTGTAGACTGAGTTTCTGTAATTTATATTAAAAATGGCAGGCATTTCGATAGCTATCATTAGCCCTTTAGTTGACTTCAGGCTTCACAGAGGGGAAGGAACATCAGATTGAAAAAAAATTGAGAGGGGGAGTGAAACAGAAGAGTGTTTCAAAGATGTAAAAGAGACAGACACAAAGGTAGATGAAAGATGAGGTGAGTACTGTGGAAGGGGTCAAATATGGCATACAGTGGGTTCATGGTAGTTTGAAGTCAGAAGTCAACTGCCAGTTACTAGACTTTTTGTCCAAGGCGCACCACGTGGAAGTAAGTCTATCGCATACCCCTGAGTTCCCGTAATAATCTTTTAATATCTAATAGAGGAGCTTATTCAACCAAAAAAATCGGATAAGCCATCATCACGGTGTATAGATGGTATCGTCTGAATTCCTATTGTCTGATTTAAATTTTTCAAACCAAAATTAACACTACAGGATTTTAAGCGCTTGCAGGTGTTTAAGCCCTGGTGAAAGAAAAGTAGCATGCAATGTCTCACGTGTTCGGCGTCTGATTTGGGGCTGGAACTTTTTGTCTTTTAGGCAAAAAGAAAATGAACTTTATTGTTTATAAATAAGTTTTTGGGCAATTTGTCTGCTAAGAGGAAAAAAATAGTTGTCGAGTCTTTCTTTCCTTCACCATGTCTGGGCACAAACTGAATTCCCATATCCGTTTGTAAAATGCTCCATCTCTTACTATTACTCCTAATACGAGAAATTATCCTTTTGGTTGCCTGTTTGTCTTAGTTTTAGCGCGTTTGAAAAGGTATAATTGAGTGTTTCATGCAAAGACGATGCAGAAACGCGCTCGTACATCCAGCCGTGGAATAGAGAGTACATTACTGACACACCTTTTGGACAAAACGGGAATTTATAGATGAGAATCTGTTTACTGAGTCGGTTTTGCCTATGAAATTAACTTTTGAATCATTCAAACTTCCCATGCCATGGGCGGTTAATTTTAAAGATAGGTCTTTTATAAAGTTTGCATAATGGTATTGAAAGAGAGGTTCATACATACTTTTGATGTATTTCTTTTGTAGGCTAGAGGATTTAGTTCTCTCGAGAGATCCTTCTAAAACCATTCAGCCCATGTTCCTAATCAGCGTTTATAAAGAACTTGAGACTTCTACACAAAGCAACTCTGACCAGGGATACAATGTCAACCAAGATGTTTTCAAACCTCGTGTTCTTCGTTCATTCACCAATGTGGACGACCTAGAAATAGTCAGTCGCCAAAATCAGTTGGATTTAAAATCTCCGCAAAGTGCTTATCCAAATTCTAAACCTTCTGTGGACAGAAAATCAGCAGGAAAATTATTCGATCTCCATTTATCGCCTCTAAGTTTAGGCCAAATTCGTCTAACGCTCTTTCTTATTGACTGCTATCTGATTGCAACGCGATTCTACAATACCTATCTAGTTTTGAGGGAGATTTTAACTGATAAGCGTTTAGTTGTGGATGCAGCTTCGTACCTTAGCGTTCTGGCAGCCTTGCCCGCACAGAAGCACTTGAATGGTGATGTCAAGCTGGATGGATCGCAGTACAGCTCGTTCCATGAACAGACCCATTATCAATGTGGTCATTCGTCAACTTCTAAACCCGATATCGTAAGTTGAATCTAAACCATTTCTTAATGATTTGACAACTTTGTTATCGAAATGCACTTGATTATAATTGTTATTCTCCAGAATATGTCCCTTCTCGGCAATCTTTCCCGCTCTGTATTTGTCTATTGTACGTTCTCCTAGTTATGACAATATAAATTTGTACATCGATTTATTGAAATCGATTCTTAGCTTTCCAAACATTAGCCTACACTGTGTAATATGACTTTTAGTGGTCAGTTTCTTGGTGTGGATTGACTTAACGCCTGATTTGCGAATCCTGTTGTCAAATATCCACATTTTGAGCTTCATTCTATCTAAAGCCCTAACAGCAACAATCAGTTCAACATTTTCTCCCTTCATCTATCTAAGTTGTGATATTGGACTAATTAAAGCTGAGGAAGGAACGTTTTCAACGCAATTTCTCTCAATCAATTTATTGATTTGCCACCTAAAACCCCATTGAGAGCAGTCCATTCACTTCCTATCAACCTACTCTTTGTCTTACTTTTCCCATCAAACAAAATATTTCCCGATCTTTATTTCGTTCCACCCAATCAATACTTTTTGTTTAATTAGATCGGAAAATCCTAATTCCTATTTCTTCGTACCTAGCAAGACCAGCATTAAATATTAAATCACTGAAACGCACATAAATATGCTTATTTAATTCATCAGATAATGTATGAAAGTGTACTTCAATATTAAAATGTAAAAATTCAAGTATCAACTAATAGGATTATTTAATATATTGATAAATCATCATTGCCCCTCGACTTTCTGAGAAATGTAGCTACGAGTGCGGCGTTGCCAATCAACATTAGAAGGAGGCTAGTCACTAAAATGTGCCATGAACCCACTCTTAAATGAAATTAGCGTACCACCACACTCTCTTGTTAGCCAGTAAGGTTGGCCAAGTACAACTCCGGATGCGCACCAATGGGCACCGATCTCATATCCGCCTCGATTTGTCGAACGCGCATGGCGTCTGCTATGCCAAAATCACTCACTTTAAAAACGCGCCATTTAAAAGCATTAATGATTATCATCAACTATTAAAAGCATTCGTGTATTAGAAAACTCGTTATTCAATCCACTTTTTAATGATTTTCCAACGCAAAGTCTCCATTCCGAGTTTATATTAGAATGTTATCTGCAAATAAATGTTTACTTGTTTTGGTGAAAAGAAGATATCATAATTGATAAGCCATATGTCATGAATGGGATGCGGCATTTTAACTTTTCATTCGCGGTAACATAAAACAGTGTACTGAATACCGGAAACAATGGAACTTGGCGGTTCACTGAAAAGCTTATATTTTGATGCAGTTAAAAATTAAAAAAATGAAATGATCATTCATAGAGATGAAGTATCTGCCTTAAGTCAAGCTTTCGTCAATTTGTTCAGTTATTGGGAGCCAATTTAATGGATAGAGTTATTTTAATTTCTTTCCCAAAAAAATCAAAATTACATGTTTGCTTGAACTTGCATTATTGATCCAAGAAACCGATCTAGTTTTAAATTTTCTGACATGATATGCGTGTTTCCGCTAATCAAATAAATCGTAATTCTTTCTAGTTAAATCCTGATCTTTTAAGATGGATATTCACAAGTAAAACCTTTAAATTTTATCGAAATTGCGATAAAATAATTAAAAATGTTTAAAGCTAATTTTACATATTTTTTAGTTTTTCTGTTCATAGTGAAATAATAATTCTGAGTTTTAAACTCAACCGCCTAAAATAATTGAATATACTATAGTTCTTATGTTAATTTAAATCTCCATGTTGTCAAGACAATTTGAATGCTTATCAGTGTGTCTTTCTCTTGACACAGTTGACAGTGCATTTCCTTAACACTGACAGTCTCATGCAACTTAGCTGTCAATGACAAGAAGATAAGACTAACATACTTATCCTTATGCAATATTTATATCAAAAATTTGGAAAAAATAACGATTCAGAAGTATATTTAGAATAATAGTATTGGGAAAAAACATCTTCGAATTTCTGCTTAGTTCGCTAATTAATATCTAATTCTTTCAGACTGGCTTAAGTTCGAGATATTTCTTTTATCCAACGGCAAACTTAGAATTGGGAAATAATTATCTTCGAATGAATATGCTAACCTGAATCGTAGAGATAAAGTAAGCTTACGAAAATTTCGCTTCATAGTTCATTTCACTTGACTAACACAATTCCTGATAAATATTTCACTAAATTCATCGAAAGGTTCATCCTAGGAAGTACTAGGAAATTAAAGCTGTATTCTCAATTTTCTAACCAGGAAAAATATGCCGGTTCGAGGATTCGTAGCAGACGGCCAGTGTGGAAATAAGCGTAGAGAATGTGGACATTAACTTCTCCTGTGTAATCTCTAAGTCCACTAAAACTCCTAATCCGATCTAATTGAAGTAGGCATTGAAGGAATTCAAATTGCATTTTTTGGCGCGAAAAATAAAAGGAGATTTCAAATAGAAGTGCCCGAAGCATGCCCTTGGGCATTGTTATTAGGTCTGTTGTCGCGAGGTGGTATCTTGGGAATCGGGGTTAGCCAAATTAGTTATAATTGGTTTGCACTAAGAGAGCTACTAAATCTATTCTGTTGCTGCTGCAGCTTTTAGTATCAAACTTTTAATAAAATCATCAGTTTACTTATTGCTTTGTTTTGAAACCCTTCTCAAGAGGAAAATCATCAATAATAATGCAACTGATCTAGGGGGGTACTGGCGTTAATGACTTCTAAAACTTGGCGTTCGATATCAACAGATATAACTGTATTAACTTTAAAACACTGTTTTAAGGCAAAAATAAATTTACAGAATAGTACAAAATTTGATAACTAACCTGGCAGTGTACTCCAATGTCAAATTGGTTATCTTGAGATCAATGCTAATTGAACTATATCTATTGATGTTTTTAGTCAATCAGCCTGATTAATCCTGAGTGAAAGAATGAGAATTCTTGCTTCGAAGCATTCTCTTTTTTATATTACCCTTCCCTATTCATGCGTGTTTAAAGCTTCCGTTGACTTGGCTATATTCTCATTTACTTATTAAATTTGTATCATGTACTTTATTTCATTTTCTTAAATTTTAAGCATCTATCAGTGCTATCTAAGGTGTTTTGAATATGGTTAAGCTTAGCCATTTGACCCTCTAAAGGAAATTAACTTATTTCCAATGTTTCATTATTCATTTTTGATAAATTTCAGTAAATAATAATTATATGATGCGATTTGGCCAAAAATGTTCAAAATAATACGTTTTGAAGTAATTTTAGATAATTAAATTAAATTCCACTTTCGTTTAATTGTTTTTTTTATTTTTTAAGATTAAATCGACAATCAGCAATAAATTCCTTGTACTTTTCGATTTCCGTGGTTAATGTGTTTGGCTAAAGTGGGATTTTATGTTATTTAAGTGAAAGTTGATATTTCAGCCCAGATGAGTTACATAAATATTTCATAGAGCTTTAAATTTTACCAAACAAAAATCCTCATTAAAAAGTGCGTTCCATTTTGAAGAGGAATTTTAAAGTACAGGAATCGAAAAACGCAGCCTTTGTTAAGTGATATGGTGGCTTTCAAAAATTTAAAAATACGTCAATTCATTTCCCTTTTACAATTGGTTCTGAGAAGCGCTTTGTTCACTGCCAAAACGCATTCGAATCATCACTGTATTACGTGCATATGGAATGTTTTACTTATTTTCTTTGTTTAATTTACTTTCAACTTTGCTGGACCTTTGAATATGCGCATTAAATGATTTGGAGATATTTATTTATAACAAATGACAGGCTTTATGACAGTCATCATTAGCCATTTAGCTGACTTCGAGCTTCACAGCGGGAAGGTTCATCAAAGTAGCAGAAAGTCGAGGAGCGGGGAACAGAAGAGCGATTCACAGATGTAAAAGAGGCAGACAGACATAAAGGTAGGGAAAAAGGTAAGATGAGTAATGTAAAGTGGTGGAATATGACATGCAATTTGAAGTTAACTGCCGGTTTATATACCTTTTTGCCGTATGAGTATACGTTGCCTAGGGTGCATTACGTGGAGGTAAGTCTATCGTACACCTCTCATTTGGAGATATAGAACACTAAATAAAGCATTTATCGAATTTCTTGGACTTCGTTCTTGAAATCTGAGAGTAAAACTTGACTCTTCAGTATCATCAAAATCTAAATTAACCTATACATTCAAACTTAGAGGATTAAGCCTCCGTTTTGAAGTGTACAAATGCAAACGTTTATATTCAAACACCTTTCCGTTATTAGGTATTTCCAAACTTTTTATGCTTTGTAATATAACGAAAATGGCTCCTTACGCCATGCGTACCTAAAAATGATCCATCTTACCTCAATATGAGTCTATTGGCTAGTCGTTACAGGCTAAGATTTGCACTTCATACAAATTGAGCCGAATTCATCAAAGGAAACGCTAAAGCTGATTTATTTTGGCACAGCACAACTAAATTTATTTCTTCGTTCAAACCACAGGAAATATTAGTTCCATCTGTCTTTTTTTATTTTTCAATCTTTTTGATTTAATTTATATTTTTATGAGTCCATTTGATTGACTGACCTGTTTAAATCGCATGATTAACAGTATATGACTTTTTGATAAAAAATGAAATAGAAGTAATATGATTTAATGTTAAATTTTAAATCAATGAATACCAAGATTAAAAATGATGTATGAGAAAATATTAACCAAATACAGTCGTTATTTTCATGATAGAATATGTAAATATGTCGATGTTCCAATTCTGTTTTGCGTATGCCTTATTTTTATGGAGATAGTTCACAAAGGCACTTGGCAAGGTTAGGAAGATTGCAACCCAAGATCGCTCTTACAGGAGTCTCACTTTTCATCACTTTTCGCATTGAAAAGGCGTTAATCAGTGCGATTTGCTGCTCTCGGTACTGGAAATGCATCACTCTTTCGATCCCTGGTGTAACAAACGTGCATTCCATTGAATGCGACATCAATATGCTATGGCCGAAAAGCATGGACTTTAACTTTTAGGCTCATTAATGCAAGTGCAGATTGGAATATAATTAATTTAGACAATTAAGGATCTTCTCCTGAGCGCGGGAAAATTTGAGGCTATTAACTTCAGCTTAGACTTAACTAGTCATTT